ATAATATGTTAATATAAAGAATAAGATATGTTAATCTATTTTTGTTTATTTCCATGACACATTGTATCTGTTGAATACAGGATTATTTTATTCTGAAACCAAACTATTGTGGGATGATTATGTTGTTGTTCTTGACATGAGCTAACAAGTGGATGAGAATGATGTTTTCGAATATCTTAATATTGTTTAGGCGAGTATCGGCCGGTAGCGGATAATTTCTGTGGCGGGTTTTCCCTGTATCGGTATTGGGATTATTTTGACGAGTTTCCACATCGTAGGAAAATAGCAGTTTGAGGCAAGTTTTGAATATGTAATAAGAGATTTGGTTGGGACTTTTTTAAATGCAGAAGTGAGACTTTGTCCGGTTCAGTGACTTTGTTGTTGGAGAGGAGCATAATGTGCTTATGGATGAGATTCGAGTGCAGATATCTGTGTAATTTGTGGAAGGGGTTGCCAAGTTTTGGAAACTTTCTTCTATGTTTGTTTTTTTGTTCAACGAGGCCCAGGTGGGTTGGGTCCTCAGGAAAATGTTGATTCTGGTTTTGGTGTTTGTGGGTTGCATTGCGGAAAGGTTTTGGTATTTTCTGTCTGAAATTGTTGATTTTACCTTCTGTGCCGGCTTTGGTCTGTAGTTGTAGGTATATTCTGAGTTTAAGAATGTTTTTTGTGAAGGCGTTCCAGTCACTCTATGCTATTGAGTTCTGGCATCTTGATTTGTAAGCGAAAGAGCCAAAGGTAGGTTGTTCATCTGTGGTGCAGTTGTATAGGAAAGGGAAGTTTATTAGAAAGGTAAGTAGAAATGTTGGAACTAATGCAGTTTGATTTCCTGTGAGTGTAAATGGAGTTGTGAATGATACGATAGTGGTGGATTTTCACGTGATTCTTGAGAATGGAATCCGTTTGTTTTTCTATTCGTGTTGCTCCATGAAGTCGCCGCCTATGGTATAGTGCGGTATAATAGGTCATCCAGTTTAGTGGGGGGGGGGGTTGATTTTAACTTGTTGGGGGGAGGAGAAGAAGCCGCTCCAGTGGTTAATCTAGGGCTGTTTTGATTTTGTTTAATATTTCTGTTTGAAGTGGCTGGTTGTGGTGTGTCTTCCGTAGTGATGTCCTTGTGAACAATTATTAATATTCCGCTGATGATTAGTGGTCCGTCTTGTCTGTATATTTGGTAGCTAGGAAATTTGATGATGTCTTTTGGAATGAGCCAGGATTCGGTGATAATTGCGATATTTGTGTTATGGTCTGTTAGTAATTTGTAAAATTCATCTATCTTGTTCGCTCGTGGCGTTTCATAAAATATGAATGGGGTTTCTATGGCTGGCCATTTTTGAGTTCTTTCACTATTAGGATAGTAGCTCAGTCTTTTTCCTGAGGTTATTGGTGCAGTTCATGAAATATGTCTGTAGTTCATATAATAGCTCATATAATGAGAGGATGAGCGCTATGATTTCAAAGAAGTGGTTCAGGTCTACTGAAT